GGATCCTCGCTTTCCTTCAACACAGTCCACACAACTGTATTATTACAGTATAACATTTAACATGTTTTGGTAATTTGCAAGGTAGTAAGTCAGTCTCATCTTCTTCTGAAACGTAAAGGGCTTTGTAAGAGAAGAGGAGTTCTCATTGAATCTACCGTGGAACAGGGAGCTAGTGAAGGAGGATGAGTGTGAGCGGATAGTGATTTGTCTGTTGGTAGAAGTGTGTTAGTCTTGATAGCTATCAGGTTGTTAGCAGTCCTGCCAGTCACTGAGCTGGAAGGTGTCACTGGATTTACAGGACTCTGCATCAGTGTGATGAAGTACCCCGATTTTTGTCTCATTCTTTTATATAAAAACATTAAAATTTAGGGTACATGTGTTTAGTATGCGTATTAGTTGTATACATTTCGCTTTCTGTGTCCCAGTTGCATATTTCAAACATTTTGTTTGATATTGTGATTATAAAATTACTTATTTTACTTGAGAATGCATGTGCTACCGTATGTATAAAAAGCATTGTGTCAAATGACTGTTTCACATGCCATCTCTGGGTTGGTTTAGAAGAAACTTAACTGGTTGGATACAGTGTTAAGTGAAATGGTTTTGCCTTTCACAGAAGTTTTGGCGTTTAAGACCAGACAATCACCCCACTGAAACTGTGAGGCTGCCACTTGCACATGCAAGCCTGAATGCTGTAAATTCAAGTTTGTGAATACATCATCTTCTCAAGTTTGCAAGCATTGCCTTCTTCTATCAGGAAGGTCATATTTTGTGACACATTATAAATTTAATTTTCAGTTTGAAACTTAAGACGCGTTTGAATTTCTGAATGATATACAACCTTATCATACTGTATGTCTCCAAAACTGATGGTATTCCTGGTTTTTTCAGAAGTTAAACTGGCTAGCAACATGCATTTTTGGCAGAGAAAAATGATTCAACAGAAGTGCTCATGTTTCAGTGCTTTTCAATATCTCACTATGTTGTCACATCATGAAAGAGAGAGGTAGACTCAGCATGACAAACGAGGGAGGATCTTGCTGTGACAGCCTTTTCACTCCTTACACTCCTTATGAATGATATTTTTCTTTCTCCTTAGCTTTCTTTGGGACTTTGTGGGACAAAGTGTCAATCTCAGCAGAGTGATTTGGCGCTACTAATTGTGTGAATCTTAAATATTCATCAGGGTCTTTGTTTTCTTTGATGGCTTTGCCTGCTGTCTTGAATGAGCATGTGTGTGTCTAGGTTTAAATGGATCCATACTCTCTAGTTAAAGTTGAGTTTCATGCCTAAGTGTTGACTAATGTAACCTGGACCGCCTGCATACTCATTTCCCATTGTATTCCCATTAATAAAACAAATGCGTTACACAAATCATCAGCTTGTTGTTGTTTCACAATGCAATTTACAGCATAACTGGAAACTTGAAATTGCACAGAGATTGTTTGGCTGTTGCTGAAGCAGTTCAATAACCCATTAATTGATGACAATATCAATGGGATATTTGAACAATTCTTAAATAAATAAATGCTAAACTGCTTAAGTTGCAAATTTTGTTAATATTTTTTATTCTACCTTCTCAAATGCAATGATTTGCTGTTTTCCCCTTTTGCACACGGCAAACTGACCATTTTTGCCTTCTGGATTTCAGGTTGGAAATTAAGATTTTCACTACTTTCTAACGTCTCAAGATTAAATGATTAATCCATTAATCTGACAAATTGGTAATGACACTAATCAAATAATGTTGCAGCGTTAGTTCTGTTCAATGGTACAAAGGATATCGGTGTGTCTTATAACTCAGGGAGAAGGTAAATATTTGTCTTGCTGGATAATGAAGACGGTATCACACTTTCTTGGCCTTTGCACCCTGACTGAACCATTTGGGCCAGACAGCTGTGTTACTGCCACAGTAATAAACTGCTTCCTATGATTCTGTGACAGCACTTTTAACACTGAGCTGCTGAAAATCCTCCTAATTTCACAGTGCTGAGGGTCAGATTGGCCCCGGCTGGAACACTGGACGTGATACGCATTCCATCCTCTGCCCATGGTAATTTCATCATCTGTGTTCTGCCGTGGCGTTTTGTTTCACAGGTTAGCGATGACTTTTCGCAGTCATCTGTCTCATTCATCTTGCTATGTGATGAAAGGTGTAGTGTATCAACTGCTTTAAAACATTTCTGGAATAAAAAAATGTTTCATTCTCATGGTGTTTTGCAACAGTACTGCCAGAATTAATGCTAGGTCGTCATTTCATGAGAAATTGTTTGCCTTGTGGAATTGAAACGTATTATTACATAAAGTTAAGATGCATTCATTGATCTGTGACTGCTAGAGGATAGAGATCCTGAAAATAAATAATCTCACAGCTAAATTCTCAGTCTCTTCCAAATCGAAATGTAATGGTCACTTTTTAGTAAAAACTAGAAGTTGAGCACTGTGGATGAAGAAGAGTACAGCTCTGCAGAGGGTCCTTGCCAAATGCCACAGTCAGATCAGTTATAAATGATAAATGGCTTTTGTCTACATTGTTGTGTATTGTCAAGAAAGGAGCTGTGAGCACATATTCTAGTGTAAAAGATGAGAGAATGGATGGGTTGCAGTCAGGGTGGCTGAGACGGACCTTTTTTTTGTGGAGAGCCCAATCATGGGTGTATGAAGAAAGCAGAATACCATGTTTCACGATGGCTCTTCATTAATTGTAATATAAGTTTCTTACTGGGAGCATGTGATGAAAATGTTTCAGTCCTCCTCATGTGTTTTGGCACATTCAAGTCCCTTCTATGGCTGAGACAGATGACGTCCTGCTAATGAGCTTCATAAAAACAGTGTACAAAAACTGATTTCCAGCCTGAGTTAGTAATTACTGTGCAAGTTAACCCAGGTGCCACCATCAGTGTTATCTTCTGAGTGAGGACAGCTCCATCCAGCTACACAT